TGGCGGGAAGGATTTGGCCCGCGGGCCTTGAGTTTGACACATGTGGTCTAGGGGTTTGACTTGCAATGATACCATAAGATGGTGTTTTGCAACTTCTCTCTGGTTGCACGTGCCCCACTTGGTACGGCTTCCCCTGCAGCAGAGCAGGCCTCCCTGGCGAAGGCCACGGCGTCCCCCGCTCTGGGAGATGAGACCACGGGGTCTGGCTGCATTTACGCCCCACGCACAGGCGGCACTCCGGCCTCTCCGGCTGCAGCAGGATCAGTCCTCCGCTATTGCTCCGGCTCGCCAACGGGCAACTAGGGATATTTCTGTTTTGAGAATCTCTCTCCATTTGTCTTATGAACATCGGGGTTTGACTTGCATTGACACCATAAGAGGTGAACTAATAAAACTGAAAGCAGCATTGCGGTGTATTTTCATATGCAGGGCTCCTGAAGGTCCCCCAGGGTCCCTTCGCTAACGCCTCTTTCCGGTTCCGTGCTGGGAACAGGCTGAACGCTCCTTGTAATGAACACTCGTGTTTGTTAAGTTAGCCGTCTGGATGCTGGTTGGGTGGGAGGAGGGAAAGTGACTTTGCATGGCAACTCATCTCTGATGTTTAAAACAGTAGTCACTGGAGACATACGATTGGTGCAGAAATATCATCTCATACCACGGTATTCAGGGAAGCATTTGATGCTACAATAAAATCGTAGGCTGTCGTGAAAGGTAAAGAGACCAGCCCTCTGAGATATTTACCTGTGGCTGGCGTCAGACACAACCCCAGCATGGGCCTTGGAGGAGAGCCAGGCGGCTCAGAGGACTGCGCCCGCCTCCCGCTCCCGGAGCGCCCGGTGCTGCCGTGGAGCGTGCGGGCTGCATGCAGCCCTTCTCCCCGGAGAACCGGGAAGGTCCCGGGAAGGTCTTTAAACGCGCTCCCTGGTAGCAGCCGCCACATCCTCGATTTTCATGTAAAATGAGCCTAATTTGGATTTACAGAACATGAGGCTGTCTTCTTACATGGTCTTGAGCAGCCCTTGGAGATCATGTCTCCCGGTTGCCTCTGAACTGTCCACACTAACGGGGAAGGGAGGGGAGGGAGGGTGGAGCCAGGAGCTCAGGATGCGAACGGCAGGGAATCCAGAGAGCTTTTGGCCGCGGAGATGGATCTGTGCTCCTGTTTATAGGGAGAGGTGCCTGGTGTTTTGCAAATTAACCACAAAGTTTTGAAATCAGCTTTTATTTATGACAACTGGGACCTGAAACACAGGACTGCTCCCTCCTCTCGCCTCCCCTCCCCTCCCCCATTCACCTCCATCCTGTCCGAGTGTCCCTGGGGATGGCAGCACCCTTCCATGATCAGCATGAGCCGAGGAGGGGACAAGTACAAGCTAAGCCGGAGAAAACGCCACAAGTTCTATACTGTGGCCGGTAAGACACTGACCTAATTAAAACTTGTAGGCTCCACCAGAGAGCTGCCTTTCCCGGCCTTTCCTGCGCGTTTATATTAGGAAAGTTGTGCTACCAGCTCCCCCAAAGTACAGAGTCTGCCCAGAATAGAGGTTCAAGAGTGGCTGTGTCACGTAGTGACTCAGTGTGGTCTTATCATATAGTGAGTCAACGTCAGCCCAGCGGAAGGGTGAGTATGGATGGCATCGTGCTGTTCTGCACGGGACCGTCCTGGGCAGGCCCCCGGGGTGGGGGTGCCGTGTGGCTCAGTGGCCCTGGGGTCCTGGGACCGTCCTGGGCAGGCCCCCGGGGTGGGGGTGCGTGTGGCTCAGTGGCCCTGGGGTCCTGAGCCCGGGACAGACTAGAGACGCAGCCTGAGGAGGTGGGCCTGCAGGGCAAGCAGAGCCACCTCAGGCTTACATGGCCCTGTTCCCACATGGGAGGGCCATGCCCTCCTTCCAATCAAAACACACACACACACACACACACACGCACACACACGTGCCCGCGAACGGGAAAAAGAGTCTGCCTTCTGAGGACTCGTGGTCGATCTCAACATGGAGTTAAGAGCGATTTGCCACAGTGGAGGCATTTCTTCCGACCAGCTCGGGATACATTCCCGATTCATCTGTTCCCGGGGACATTCAATGCCCATGTCTGTCACGGTCTGTGCTTTTCAAAACATCCCTTGCGCCCGCAGAATCCTTCGTAGAACAGCATCCCCTCAATGCTCAGGGCACCTGTGGGCGGGCGTTCACTCCCGCCATCCTTTCACAAGGAGCTCCGTCCAGGGGAGGCTTGCTAGCTGTTTGGGCACCAGCCCCCCGGGGGTATGAATCGGGGTTCCCGCGGGGAGGAGGCCCTCTGGAGGCGGGCCCTCAGGAAGAGGGGGAGCCTGTGGAACCCCACACACAGCCCTGGGGCGGGGGACCTTCTTTGCCAGGAGTGGTTTGAAAATGCTAATAAACTTCACTAAATACTGCTTAAAAGCCAGAGCCATTCTTCCGAGATCTTTCACCCCAAGAGACTTGGGTGCTCACCCTGGCTCCCCGGCCTGCTCACACCCGAACCCTGTGCTTGGGGTGACTGCAGAAAGCTGTGCTCCGGGTCCTGGCTGTGGGATGGAGAAGAGCTAATGCCGGGATGGAGGCCTCCGAGGTGCTCAGTGTTTACTTTCAGCTGCAGGTTCTGCTTCTGAGAGGTTTAAAAACAGACGTGTCCCCAGGCCCAGCCTTTTCCCAGCCAGCGTGTGGGGGTCTTTGGGTGTTTTGATCAGACTCTGCGGCAGCCACCTAACAAAATGCAATCCTGAGATGAGCTGATAAGGATGCAGAAAGGAACAAATAAACAAAAAGCCATGTTAATTTCAAGCTTCAGTAGAAAAACAAAAAGAAGTATTAGCATGTGCTGAATGGCAAATAATGACTGGCCAGGAATGTTTAATGCTTCTAGCGGTTCTGTAAGCTCTCGTGGAATTTCCACCCGGCAGGGGCAGCGTAGCTGTAACCAGCAGTGCCCCGTGATGGGGGTTGATAGGTGGTTTAACTTAAAGATCGGCACCTGCACGCACATGGGCCCCTAAGCCGATCCTGTAGCTGACTTAACACTTCTCTCACCTCCTCAGAGCAGCCACATGGCCTTCGTGAGCCCTCAGCCTCGCTTTTACACTAAATGAACGGCACTCCACCTGACTGCTAGGGTGGTCACACAGTTGTTTTGCCATTGTTGTTTAATATATATGCCAAAAATATATACTAACTCCTATTCTTTCCGTTTCTTTCCCCATCTTCTTCTTTAGAGATCCCTTCTCTCGCCTTAACGTAGTAATTTCATCATCGAGAAATTCGAGGGTTCTAAAATTTGTATTCATGTGTCAGGCAGACGTAAGGCACTGTTCATTTAAATGTCCCTTCTTTGAAGTCAGTAAATGTTCAGGAGCATCCACTGCGTGCCAGGAATGGTGTGAGGGATGGAGTAAAAGCAGAAGCGGTGAGTCTCACCGTAGGAAGGCTGCCAGGCGACCTTCATGCTCTTAAGGGTACCTTCCACCTGTCCTGGACCCTGCTGGATTATAATGCTCACTCCCAGGAGCCTGCCTCCACTTCGCATACCCAGCGCTTGGCAGGTGCAGGGCACCAGTAGGGACAGGGGTCTGCCGCAGGAGCTGGCGGGGAGAGCGGGAGAGGTGTGGGGTGGAGGGGCCTGTGGGGTGGGTAGGAAAAAGTGTATGACTTTGTCAGTCAGAACTAGTCTTTGGCCGAAACTGATTTGGCTCAGTGGATAGATAGCCTGCGGACTGAAAGGTCCCAGGTTCGTTTCCGGTCAAAGGCATGTACTGTGGTTGTGGGTACTTCCCCGGTGGGGGGTGTGCAGGAGGCAGCTGATCAATGTTTCTCTCTCATCGATGTTTCTAGCTCTCTATCCCTCTCCCTCCCTCTCTGTAAAAAAAAAAAAATCAATAAAATATATTTTTTTAAAAAGAAAAGAAAAAAGAAACAGGTCTTTGGCCGGAAGGCCTTGGGGGGCGGGAAGGGGGACAGCCAAGGGCTCAGCTCGGGGTTGGGGTTCCTGTGAGGGGGTCCACAAACCGTGGCCTGCGGGCCAGCCAGTCCCCTTGTTTCCCAGGTGTCAGTGGCCACTTCTGTGCTATACGTCAACAGAGGTGAATAATTGCAGCATAGAGCCTGCCAAGCCAAAAGTATTTCCTGTGTCTCCCTTTATAAAAAGACTGCTGCCCTCTGCCTAGAGCAGTGGACAGCGAACCACGGCTCGAGAGCCACATGCGGCTCTTTGGCCTCTTGAGTGTTGCTCTTCCACTAAATACCACGTGCAGGCGTGTGAGTACAGTGCGATGGAAGGAGTACCCTAATTAAGTTAATAACAATGTACCTACCTATATAGCTTACGTTTAAAAAATTTGGCTCTCAAAAGAAATGTCAATCGTTGTACTGTTGATATTTGGCTCTGTTGACTAATGAGTGTGCCAGCCACTGGGCTAGAGGGATAGTGAGGGTGAATGCAGTTACCTGAGGACCATATTGCAATGTGAAGGTGGTACTCAGTCCTCTTGGTCAGGGGCCTGACTTGAGGGGAGGTGTGGGTTCAGGAAGTTAATGTAGGAGTGGTTCATACTGGGGAAGAGGCCAGGTATAGAGAACCAGTCAGGAGCTTCCAAGCATCACTGAGGAAAGCACATAATTGTGTGTTTTGTTTTTTTTTCTTTTCTTTTTTAATTCTTTATTGTTGAACTTATTACCTATGTCTCCTTTTTCCTCCATTGACCTCTCCCTGCCCACTCCCACCCCTCAGCACGTGCCCTCACCCCCCTATTGTCCGGGTCCATTGGTTATGCTTATATGGCAGGCATACAAGTCCTTTGGTTAATCTCTTACCCCCCCCCCCCCCCCCCCCGCCCCAGCCTCCCTTGTCCTCCCTCTGAGGTTTGATGCTTCTATGTCTTGGGATCTATTTTAGTTCATCAGTTTATGTTGTTCATTATATTCCACAAATGAGTGAGATCATAAGTATCATCAGACTGGCTTATTTCACTTAGCATAATGCTCTCCAGGTCCCTCCATGCTGTTGCAAATGGTGGGAGTTCCTTCCTTTTTACAGCAACGTAGTATTCCTCTGGTAGATGTACCACAGCCTGCTAATCCACTCATCTGCTGACGGGCACTTGGGCTGTTCCCACATTAAGAGTTAGCTTAGCACACTTGTCCCCTGGGCTAGAAACGTCTCCTGGTTCTCATCATGAGCTTGGGGGTCCACCCTCACTTCCTTCCAGAAAACTCAGGTCTGCCCCACCCACTGGTTACACCCTTGCGTCTAGAGTCGCTGTATGGCAATGAGTGTTCTGTCTCACAACCTGGGGCCTATCTCAGTTCCCGGAGGCCAGCCACACCTCTCTCAGCGGTTAGAGTAATATTCTGAGCATAACTAGTCCTTTCAAAATGTTTCGTGATGACACAGTCACTGAGCAAGATGTGAGGTTGGGGAAAACATCCCCTAACTTATTCTATACATGAGTCAGAATACATCAGGCTAATAATTGTAGGAGCAAGCATCTGTCTGTCTGAGGTGCCACATTCATCAGATAAAACAGTTAAGCCCACATCAGTCATTTTTGGTAAAATAAAACTAAAATTAGACAGTGCCAATACAGCCAAGGCAAGAGTATTTATTCCAACGTTAGTTTTAAAGCTGATAGTGGCAGATGCTGGAGCATCTGGGCTTGAAAGGCAGGTCAGTCAGAGATTCTTACAGAGAGAGCCTGATGGCGGGAGGGAAGGTCCTGGCGGGGGCTGGAGCCTCAGGTTCAGCCCTGGCCCCTGTTTCTCGTCGTGACCCTAAGCCCTGTCAGGGGTATGAAATGCCAACATTTTGGAAATACAGATCTGATTTTTTCTTAGTCATATTCATTAATGACCTAAATCAAGGAAGAATCTCCTACTTAATGAAGTAGTTAATTTGCTCTGGGAGTTGATGTTGAAAACAGAAGACTAACTGATTAATATGATTGATCACTGTGTTCCTCTGTCTTCCTTGAAAGGAGCCACTTGCTGGGCCGCACCAGGTTTGGTGCGTGGGGCTGGGCTACGTCGTGCTGCCTGGAGTCCGCGGTTACCCTTCCCCACTCAGTCCCAGACCGCTGCCCCTGCTCTGCTCTTCCTCCTCCCCCCACCAGCACTCAGGCTCAGCTTACGTCTCACCCTCCAGATGGGCCCCGGCTATTATCTCCACCTCCTTTGTTTGTCATCATTTTACCTAACCAAGGCCATATCGTGCAGCATTGCATTTTCTTATTGCTTTCTGCGGGGGATCATGGAAAAAGATTAAAAGATCAAAAACAAAAATCTCCCCTCATTTTGCCTCGTGTGAAATCTGACCTCCCTAAGCCGATCCTCGGACTCCGGGCGCAGCTCTGAGGATCGGAGGAGAGAGTGTAGGGAAGTCCTTGTAACCTGGCGTGCCACACGACTGTTAGCTGTTGCGTCATTATTGTCTTTGGCTCTCTATAGCTTAGCTTCTCGGCGAAGTTTATAGTTAATATCTACCACACGAGCTTTTGAACATCCTGTGCTAATGGGCTTTCCTCTGTGCAAAACAACGTGCTGGAGATAAACAGGCTCCTTCAGGTTACCTGTCCCCATTGCAGATGGAAGGGTGGTGAAGACTAAACATGTGAGAATTAAGGTGGTAAACACCTGGGCCAGCTCAGCCTGTATCTCTCAAACCCCCTTCTCCCCTTTCCCCCTCCTCCCCCCCACTGGCTGAAAAGGGGCCTCCCCAGCCCCGGAGGCCCCACACAGACGGCCTGACAGACCTCTGGCTCCAGAGACTTCCCAGCACTCATCTTCCAACATTTCGTCTTCCAAAAGGAAGCCAGGCCTGTCAGGGCTGCTGCTCAGAGGGGGATTTGGCGGTCTTCAGAAGCACTGGTGGCTGCCTTTTCCTCTCTGTGGGAGAGAGAGAACTGACAGTCTGAATGAGAGCAAGACTACATCACTGTCAAGGTCAGAAGCCTGCCACTTCTGTCCGCGTGTGTTGCCAGCCAACGCGCTCCTGTTTGTTTCCAAACTCCCAGTCTTTCGGTCTCCTGCGTTCGCTGTTCATCCTCTGCCCACGGCCCTCTCCCTGGACCCAGAGCTGGGGGGTAACTGGAGGTTTTTAATATAATATAACTTAGTGGCCATGCTCTTCCTACCCCCACCCCCCGTTTTTTATTTTCATTTTAAAAAATGTTCTAACCACTGCTTTTCTCATCACCACTGTTCTAACCACTGGGACTTTGTGTTCTAGGCAAATTTATTGCTATTAAAATATTTGTCTTTATTATTGCAGGTGATAAAGTTTGCTTTGTGGGCTTTGTTCCAACTTGCATTATTCTTTTGCAAGGATACTGAGTAAGTTATAAAATATTAAATCATACCACGCCTGAGAACAGTGCACGTGTAAATTCTTTACAAATATAATAGGAGTTAAGGATGAGGTAGTAAAAGTGTAAATTCTTTATAAATATAGTAGGAGTTGAGGTAGCCCACGATGATGAAGTAAATTGTGATTCTGGCTCAATGAGCTTAATGAGTCCCCAGGATTAATAAACATTTTGCTTTTGATTACTGTTTTGGAGTCCTCATGTTCTGAGGTCAGGACTTGAACTGACCTTTTTGACAGTGGTTAATAGTTACTTGACATGACATAGAACTTTCCCAGTTCTTGTAAACTTGACTGGTCTTCCCTATCAGAGATATTTTATAATTTCATGCCAATTTAAATAAATGTAAATCAGTAAGTCAGAAGCTCATCAATTCTGTTAACATTCAAGCGGTAGGAGAGAATATAAATTTCATGAAGGCAGAGATATTTAGAGGGGGTACTCCTATATTATTCATTGTATTATCTCTAGCATCTGAAACAATGCCCAGCAGGAGTCACTTTGTAAATTATATGATTGTCTAACCTAGGGGTGTCGAACTCAATCAGAGAAGGGGCCAAAATCTAAAATCCAGCCTAAATCGCGGGCCGAATGGTTTACTGAACAGTCATAAACTGTCATTGTGATGGAAACGCAGTGGAGTGCAGTGATGACAGCGCGGTGCGGGCCACATTGCAAGGCCTGGCGGGACGGATTTGGCTCGCGGGCCTTGTGTTTGACACATGTGGTCTAACCACTCTTCTGTACACCTGAAACTAATATAAAATAATATTAAATATCAACTATAATTGGGGGGGGGGGGAGTCAGTGGTCCCTAAGACATGCAAATGCAGCTGTAATAACTTACCACAAAATCAGTAGCTTAAAACAAAAAATAAAACAATGAATGCCCAGCATACATCATGGTCACGAGCTAAATAGTGAATAATGAATAACGGAATGAGCTATAGATAAACTATAAGAAATCTATAAAAATCTTTCTATAAAAATCCAGAACAGTGTATTTTTAATGTCAAAATTCAAATGCTTCAGTGTAAGCTAGAACTATAAATAGAGAACCAATGGGAATAATTAAAGATTTTGGCATTGCCCATCTGAACTATTCCACTCATTGCCTAGGAGTTTGCCAATGCCCATTTCTAATAAATGCACTGAAGTCGGGTGACTTCATTAAAACTTAACTCTCAGCTAAAAGAACTGTGAGAAAGTGTGATCCATTTTGGCACACAGATCATATAAATAGCTCTCCATCGGCTTTAATTTTCTGATCTGCATTCAGCGGTGTTTGTATAGAGAGTCTGGCATGGCGAGGGGTACCTACCAATCACAATATTAGAGAAAATGTCACCCTGGCGGTTCTTTTCAAGTAAGTCTATAAATACAAAGTTCACCAGTGTTGTTTTCTGTAAACCTGTCTTTGGTATAATTACTATTTCTTTTAATTATTCTACCTTTTACTTTTATAATCTGCTATTAGCGTTTGACGGGCCAATTTTCTCGTCACTGAATTGCAGCTGTAATACTTTGTTTTCAAGTATCATAAAACTACCGTAATGTTCTTTCCATCACAGATTACTCTCGTTTGGTTCACTGTCTTAAATTGTGGGCTTTAAAAGTGTTATTTTTAAAGTTATAATCAAAACTAGAAGGTATTTAAACTTTGCTGAAAAAAAAATCCATGTGAATATGGGGCCCCCTCTCTCTCCCTTTGTTGCAATCAATAGGAATGACCAATAATTACATGATGTTTCTCTTCCCACACACAGAGACAGGCAGGGGCGTCCGCAATCGTCAATCAGGGCACAGACCCAGGGAGGGGGCCCCAGCCATGACGTGAACGGTGCCCGCTTGTGGAGGCACAGACTTGTATGACTTCTGAACCTTGTCAGGCCGGTCTCAGCCCAATCATGAGAGTTGGAAATGGTCCGCTTTTTCTCTCACTTCTCACTTGCCAAATGTCTGAGAGCAATCTGAGAGTAATTTAGACCAGATCGTTAGTAGATCTGGTGACAAATAGATTTAACCTGTTAATTGTGCTTTGTTTTGCTCTGTCTTGGCCTTTCCATATGTAAGAGGTTAAAATGATGGGTGTGACAAGAGTAAATGAAGCTTGATCATCGCAGTGTAAAACGCAGCTCTGGGTATGCCTGTGCCAGGCTGTGGTGTTGACCTCATTGCCATGTGACTGCCATCAATAGCTCTTTATACTTAATCCATCTCCTCTAAAAGCCATACTAACACATTTATGTTTATGGACTCCCCCCAACATTGCTGAAGTTTTTGTGAGATATAATCTGTTTGATTTCTTAATTTTTTGGTGACTGATGGTATTGTTGCTTATGACCCAATTTAGTAAGACGTAGGAATTTCCCGTGTCATTGATGTGGTCTCACAGTCTTCTCTCCATTCGCCAAATTTCACCCGTGTAAGAACCGTCCTCAACAGATAATTTTTGGAGATCCTGTTACAGTCTTGTTTTCTTTCTCACAAATGACTCTTGCAAGGCTGAATTTAAGAAGACAACTTTTAAGGTCTTTCCCTCTCAGCCTATAAAAGAAAAACTGGCTTGTTGATGTCACCTCTGTCTTTAATTATGTGGAATCACAAGCAGAGCTATCTCCCTTCTTGGGTTTTTTCTTCCCT